TATGCGATGCATTATTCAAGGGATCGTATCTAGCGCCAAAGGCTATAGAAGCAGCGTTTGGTGAATAATGTACAACATTGTTGAAGTCAAAACAATTCACGCTTTGCTCTACTATAGTGCCAATTTATGTTGACTTGCTCAACCAAGTACGTATTGCAATTATTGGAGATTCTCTAGCCCTCGATATCACGTAACGTATCAATAATGATAAGTTCAAGGTGGAAGGAGATCTTTTATACTTTGAAGAGAGGTTGTGTATTCCAAAGGGACCTACACGACTCTGAGTTCTCCAATCTCGACACGAATTTCTAGCTCCAAAATATTTTGGATTCAATAAGACCTTAGAACTTATTTCTCGAGATTTTTGGTGGCCTCAAATGTGGAAGGATGTCAAGGATTTTTTCCTCTCCTGTGACATTTGTTCAAGATCCAAGAATCCTCGACATTGTCCATATGGTCTTCTTCAGCCATTGTCTATTCTATGTTGGCCATAGTCTTTAGTTTCCATGGACTTCATTACAGACTTACGGCCATCGAATTCATTTGATAGCATCTTTGTTGTGGTAGATTGACTTAGAAAGATGGCACACTTTATCCCTTGCAAAAAAACATCATCAAGCAAAGACACAGTAAGACTCTTTATTGATAGTGTGTATCGATATCATGGTTTACGAGATGATATTGTGTCGGATCGAGGAACCCACTTTGTATCAAAGTTCTGGAGATCTCTCTTTGAGTTATTGAAGGTGGATATCAAGCTTTCTTCGGCTTTCCATCCTCAAATTGACGGCCAAACAAAACGAGTGAATCAAACTTTGGAGAAGTATTTACGATGCAGCATCAACTATCAACAAGATGATTGGACTCCATATCTATCGTTAGCCAAGTTTACATATAACAACACCTTTCTTGCGTCGACTCAACAAACACCATTCTTTTCCAACTATGGATATCATCCGAAGCTTGATTTGTTGAGTTCGTCAACCAATAACAACCTGGGAGTTGAAGGATTTATGAAACAACTATCGCAGCTTCAAACTACGTTAAAGCTTCAATTACAAATCGCCCAAGAAGCTTACAAGGCATGCACAGATAAATTTCAGAATCAGGCACCTACTTTCAAATTTGGAAATAAAGTATGGGTGCTTCGATAGAATATAAAAACCAAGTGGCCATGTGATAAGTTGGACTACCGAAGATTGGTACCACTTGTCATCTAGAAGAAAATCAATCCAAAGGCATATCGTCTAAGGTTACCAGCTGCTATGAAGGTATACCCAATCTTTCATGTTTCTTTGTTGGAGCCTTTTCGAGAGTCGTTTTTTTCTAAAAGAATGCAATGTCTCCCATCTAGTATTGAAATTGAGAACCACGAGGAATATGAGGTGGAAAAGGTACTAGATTCATGGTATAAGTGGGAGAAATTGGAGTACCTAGTGCATTGAAGCAGCTATGATGAGCGCATATAAGAACCTACAAAAAATCTTATCAGTGCGTTGCAAAAAATACAAGAGTTTCATCGACGCTATTCTCAAAAACTTAAGCCCTTTCGATGAAAGTTTTTCTGTGAAGTCCCTTCTCCTTGAAGCCTCTTAATCCTTGGCCTTATAAAGAATGGAGAGAAGGAACAACTAAAAGACATAGTTAGAGACTATAAATCTATAACCTGAGCCCATTCTTCCATGTTTAGTGCTTATTTTTTTGGTCTGATATGGATAGGCAAGGGATAGATACTATATCAGTCATGTCTTCTCAACCAAGTATCTTAAGAAGACGACCCTGAGATGAAGAACCGCATGTACCACGAAGATGACAAAGGATACCTACTAACAGGTCGCTAGTGATTGTGTTTGAGGTAGAACCTGCCTATGGTGATCTTTCCAAAGGAGTGTTTGTAGGGTATTTTTACAATGAAGATACAAAAGTTCATGCCTGGTCAAAAATCGAAGGCGTAGGATACTATCGTTGATTACAAGGACCAATGAACTACTTATCGTGCAAACAACAATTTGAATATATTGTAGACACTATGTGACAAATTTTCAACTTCTTACATTGGTATTGACTTGCAATAGGAGTGCTTCTTGAAGACCTCAAAGCTAAAAGAGGAGGTGATGTCAAGGACATACACTAAGAAGTTGTAGAAGATTCTAGAAGGTTCTAGAGAAGCTTTGTAGTTTGTAGAAGCTACTTGAGAAGTTTTCAAGCTTGTAGAAGCTGCTTGAAAAGCTTCCTAACTCGTAGAAGCTGCTTGAAAAGCTTTCTAGCTTGTAGAAGCTACTTGAGAAGCTTCCTAGCTTGTAGTATATATAAGAGCTGAGACTGAGGGGATCCTCAGTCTCAACAATATACCTATTGGAGTTCTAGCTCACCTCTCTAGTATTGTTCTTGTACTCATCTAATTAATCTAGTTCTTGTCAATTCTTCTTAAGCTTCTTGTTTAGATTTCCAGTTAGTATTCTAAATTCGTGACAATTTTTTTGAGTTAAAAGTTGTCTAATTTTTTTATGTTCTAATTTATTTTAAGATTTGATAGTCGTGAACTTAAATATTGATTTTAACATTCTAAAGAGATTTACATTGATTATTTTCATTCTTATATATCATGTAGTTGAAACTTAATTATTTCATTAAATACTAATTATCCACTTATCAAAGTTTTTATCAAAAATTCATCAAAATCTAAAAACCTAAAAATATCAAACAATAAAAGTATTTATGGTTGAAATATAATGGTATTTCTCAAACAAAAAAATATGTCCTATTCTTATTTTTGAAATTATTGATTCTGAGATATTTTCTTACTTTCTTGAATAAAAACTAATGTAATTTAAAAAAAATATTAATCATTGATTTAAAGTTCTTATAGAATGCCTTATAATACTTTTAAAAGAACTAAAGTACTCATTGAAAACAAATTATCAATTAGATGACTATAATATTCAGAGATATTAATTATAAAAAAACTTGTTTTTTTTTAAATTTTTTACTTATGATAATTTTTGTAAAAGATACAATTAATTTCATTTTATTATATAGTCAACTATTACTAAAATTAAATAAATAAATAAATAAATAAATAAGCATATATATATATATATATATATATATATGTAATGAAATTCATAAAAAGCATTAATTCTTTTTCTAGAATAAAGATTAGTTAAAGGATTTGATTTGAACATTAAATATAATTTTTAACTTTAAAACAAATATTCTAATACTTTACAACTTTTTTTTATTAAATTTTCTACATTTAGAACCTCTAGATGTTATTTAAAAGAATTTAAAATTAAAATAATTAAAAGAATTTAATTCATTTTATTGAATCAAATATATTATATTTTATAAAATAATGTTGTGCTTGAATTGCTTATAATTGTGCTTAATTTTTTTAAAATATTCTTTTAAAGCTGTAGGATGTTTTTGTTTTCAAAGAGAATGGTATATGCTCAGAATTTATCATGCAGCTTCTATAATCAGAATCTATATGATATGGTGTCATTTTTTGCACTGGATATTTCTTTTACAATTGCTTCTTAGTTTTATTTTTATTTATTTTTAAATAGTTTTTATGAATGATTTCCCTAAACCTGGTTCAACGAAATTGTTCAAATTTCATGGAAGGTGTGACAGTATTTTCCATGAACACTTTCTGCATCTTTTTTAAAGAACAGATTTGCCACTTAATATCACCAATAAATGGAATGTTTTTTTTTTTTTTTTTTTTTTTTTTTCTTTTTCTATTTTTTATAAGTCCTTGCCTATATTGCTGCAAATTATCAACATTAATGATAGTAAATTATCTATACCCTTAGTATTTTAGACTGGACAATGATGAATAAAGATTATGTACTACATCAATTTACATTTCAAAAAAGAAAAAAAGAAAAGAAATCATGATAATTTAAGATTGTAACTAATAGTGTATAGGAAATACTCATCTAAAAAAGTTAAGTATTTTTTTTTCAAGTAAAAAGGAGTATTATACTTTTTAATATATATAATATATGGTCAACAGGATTTGACCTCATATGGTCAACAGGGTTTTACCCATCAATGGTCGCAGTTCAATACAATAGCTATGACGATTGGGCTTGGTTTTTTAAACCTTCTTTCTGAATTGCATATCTTAATTATATTATATCGATCGTAAAATCAATTTCGCAACATTATGATACAGAAACTTGTTTTTCTCGATTTTTTCTTAATTTTTATTTTGATTTTTATTCATTTTTTGATTTTTTAACAACAGGAATTGTGCAGTCCACAGAACTTTAAAAATAAACTACGATTTCAAATTGTTTTTATGTCTTGATGATTAGACCCATTCCTAGGATAGTCTTTTGAAATAAAATGACTCTCTTTCCCCATAGTGCTTGATTAACTAAATAGTCTTCATCATACACTATAACTACACAAATGTAGATGTCCTAAAATTGAGTTTTAGGTTTAAATAATTGTAAAGTGTGATCAGGTTTGTAAACAAAATTTAGAATTCATATTCTATTATTGGTATAGTTATCAGTCATATTTTAGGGTTGGCATACATCAATAATATTGTATTTGTAGCATTTTATTGTAAACGCTCACAAGCTGATAATAGTAAATCTAAACCGCATCTAGTCTTGTGAAGACGAATGTACGAAGGATCCTAATTTGCTGGTTCACTTGAGAACATTACAGGCGTTGTATGCATGTCCTAAACGAACTCCTCATTAATTATCTTCCATCATAGGAGACTCCACAGACAGCATGTTTGGATTTGCGAGTGGAAAGATTCCGAAGAAACTTTCCATGTAGATCAAAGGTATCTGCAATGAATTATTTATATGACCACAGGTGTATATTGTGAAGTGGGATGCACAAAGCAACAATTATCAATATCACTCAAGTTCAAGTACAGTTAGGTCATCACCTGATGTCCAAGTAAGGAACTACATGTCTGAGGACTAGCAACCAAATATTCCACAAAAAATGGCTGTGCAGGAGAAAAATTATTGAAAGGTCAAGTAGCAAAATTGAAATACCGGAATCTGGGTTTGTACATGCCTAATATTCTACACAATAAAACTGCCCGAATTTGCCATGAGACTTTCGAGACGTGGCTTCGAACTAGCTATCCTACCTCTGCAAACAATTTTCTACGGAAGCCATGAATTTGGACTAATTCATGGCGTAAATGCGTAGGAGGTGGCTCTCAGATGGTTAAAAAACCTGAATAAGGAGACTCGTATGTGGGGGTAATCTGCCGCTGTCTGACCAGCTACTTCTTGCCAAGGAGGACAAATGCTGAAGGAACATGGATTAAGTCCATGAGTGACCATCCCAAACAAGTCAGACGTCCATCCCTCGACGGAAAAAGACCAGGTTTCACCGTCAATGTGCATGCAGTAGCCAGACACACATCCCATTAGCCTTTTATGCCTTCAAACTATGGTGTTTACAAGGCATCAGTTGGGGTTGATGCTGGGTCTAGCTCCAGACAATCTGCAGGTACCCCTGGCATGTCACCTTCTTTTATACGCACTGCGGGTACACGATGGGAAAATGTGTGCCAGTTTCTTATTGAAAGCGGGTAAACATCTCCCTCAGATACCCAGAGGGTTTTGTATCCTTGGAGCTTCTTAAGCGCCACCACACCACCTCCCCAGTCACTGCTGAAAAGTCGCTTTTATTTTCTACAAATTTGCACCGGAATATAACGCTTCCATCTGCGTTAGACTTTGGCACATCCTTATCGCAATCTCTGTAAATAGCCCACACTTCAGACCTCTTCGGATAGACTTCATAAAGATTCTTGCACGCTCTGGTCGGCATCAAGTGTGAGAACATGTTTATCTGGTCAAATTTGGCGACATCACCAGGCTGAAACTCACCCGTGCAGATTGAAAGATCACGATCATCTAACCAGCGAAAGGTGCCTTTCAGAGGATGAATCGGCTCCAGCCATGAACCATACACCGTAAATGGAGTTCGACGAACTTTAGTCACTTGACAATTAAACCGAGGCATCCCATCTGTTTCATCAAAGACGGCCCACACCTGGTTCTTCTTCACATGAGCTTCTGTACGGTCTGCATCAAAAGCGTGGAAATCAGGATCGGGAACACTAATGACACACTCTTCAGAACCAGGAACGGCTGGAGCATCCTTGTCAGGTATATCGAACGAATGAGCAAGATGATGGGCCTCCTGATGTTTAAGCTTCAACCTGTCCACAACATTCGGCAAATTAGGAGCTTTGCCTAATTTAACTGTAAGGTCTCTTCTGAACCTTTCAGCCAAACGTTGTTGCAAGGAATCCTTCGATCTAGTGTCGTTAACAAATACAGACCCGCTACTCCGTTCCTTCACACAACCACTGACATGAATTCTTACAATTCCAATGTCCTCGTCATCAGAGTTCGTCGTGAACTTGCCCTTCTCTACACTGATACCAAAGCCAGCGTCGACACCATTAGCAGATATTCTGAGCTTCTTTTCTTCTGAAGCATCATCAAAATTGTCGTCATCACGTCCATTAAGTCCATAAGCCACTCTCCTTTTAGATCGTGAAGATCTCCTTGTTGGATTTACCTTCGTTGTAGGGCTCGCATCCTCGTCATCTTGCTCTCTCTTGCGCTTGTTCAGTCGTTTCCTAGATGTATCTCTCCGAGCAGCATGCTGTTTGGCTTCTTGGTCGATTGCTTCCCTCCGCTTATTCATCAAGCGCTCGAAAGCCTCCTTTGCCTTGGCATCCTCGCGCGCCTTCTTTAAAGCATCCTTTTCTTGTTGCCGCAACTGTTTGTCTTTCTCTCTCTCTTTCCTTTTCAACTCGCTCTCTGCATCCACTCTATCTTTCTGGGCCTTTCCATATGCTTCCTGCACCAGGCTTGCAGCAGCCGATGCTTTTGATGGAACTCCGGCAACACCTGGTCCTATGTTTCCACTCCTGGCTGGGTCAACATCCCCAGGGATGTGCGCATGTCCATTTTCAGCCATGCCACCTGGTGTTGCAGGAGTTCTGAAATGGGTGTGGCCGGGGTTCTGAAAATTGAACGGCTCGGCTCTTTTGGGACCTGGAGGAACTGAGCTGGCTGGGATAGGACCGCTATTGTCGAAAGAAGAACGTGTCCAACCGGCGAACGGAGAGGCCCCATTTACAGGCGCTGCATTGATGTCCTTCGCAAGAAATGGTTTGTGGCATGTCTGACAAAGAAGTTGATAGTTCAAGTAAGTGCGCAAATGTTGGTATTGCATTCGACATAGAGGACATGATGTCCAAAAGGTGAGAGAAGGGTGCGGAGCTTGAGCGCCAGGACCAGGTGTTGCCTGTGCAGTTGGTTGATACTTTGCATGGTAAGCGGGATACGAAGCCTTCGATGGCTCCTTCACATGTGAAACATTAGACTCCCCACTCCGCTTCAAGTCATACAAACCCCTCTTCCCCCTGTCGGACAAAACTCCAAAAGCCTCTCCGATCATTTTGAACGCAGCCTCGGCTCCCATTGATTTGTTCTTGTCAGGATGAAGCAGTAGAGCGAGCTTTCGGTACTGCTTCTTGATTGTGTTGTCATCCGACATTGGCTCCACCTAAGACAAAGTGTTCATAATGTTCAGAAATAAATCTAAAGCCCAAGTGCACGATCGACCAGGATTCACCGGTACATTTATATTCAGGAACGGTATGTTCTGTTTACGGCCAATCAGAATTCATGATACAAAGTGGTTGAATTGTGTCGGTAGAAATGCCTAAGTCATCCATGTCAACGAACGTTTACCTCACACAGATTACTCCCCGCAAATACCACTCAAATAGTTTAAAATACATCACAAAAATTTCGCCTGAATAATTCAAAGAGACCAATGTTTGGACACAGAAAACACGTTATTCGTACTTTGGTTTTCAAGTTACAAATCATATTCACGATGTGAGCCCGCATTGACACTGAGCTAAGCACTATGATGGTCCGTGAAAATATTGCTTGCAACATACTAGTAGTGCTAGAAATATTAGAAGGCAATTAATATGAATGCGCCTGTCGTGGATTGGTGCATCGAAGAACGTCCATCTGAAAGTTGGTCCAACAAAATATGCTTGAATGAAGAGATTCGATAGTGACGACTCGTTGTGAGAAAAAATAAGTGCATAAAAAGCACAAGTACCTGAAGAATGCCATACCAATCGGTCTCATTGCTATTGCTCCCGGCTTTCATCTGAGCCATGATATGAACATCTAAGACGGCTAACCATTGGGGTACACCTTCGAGAGCAGGATACAACTGCTGAGCTTTGAGAAAAAACTTTTTGGCACCAGGAAAGTCCTGAATTGCAAACTTCTTCTCCGCGATATCCTTGGCTCGAATTGCTTCATCTCTGTTGCACTCCATTAAATCTTCAAGCCAGTGAGGCGGCGACTACCGATTTCTCACCCAACTTAAATACACGCAATTCGTACAATTCTTCGCTCCAATGCTTCCAAAAACCTAAACCTCCTCATAACACAATACAAATGTGATAACTAAGGGCTTAAGCTGAAGAAGAGCACTTCTCCTCTCCTCAGTGAGTTTCTTCGCCAGACATGTCCAACAAATGCTGCTGCTCATATATCATGGGCCCGTAGAGCTCAGTTCAATATCCTACAAAAAGCATGTGCTGAAGTACAATCCTACGCGGCATTACAAATGGCCCTGCTCAAAGTCAACACCCTTACTGTGCCCACTGTCATAATCCAGCACAAATCCCATCATACTCCTTCTGTACATCATGACATGCCATTTATGACCTTACAAAGTAAGTAGAAGCCTACTTTGCAAAAAGATAGCATTTACATCTTTATTTTTATTTTTTTTTGGACTATTTTTTATTTTATAAGATAATTTTTTTTAATATTTGAAATAAGTACTTCTATAGTATAATAATTTCTTCACTCTTTTTACTAATTAGTTGTATTATATGACAATAATATTGTCTTAAAGGTTGTAACAATTATAATTTCTTGTTTGATAAGTCAGTAAATGAAAGATCGTGAATAAAATCTATTGGTTGTTGGTTCTCTATCTTTTTAATGTCACAAATATACAGAAGTTAAAAACAAGAGTAGAAGGTAGAATACTATCTTCTTTGAATCTTATTTCTTTTATAATGATGATTTTCTATTCTTTATCTTGATTTTGATGGATGTTGTCAATGAAAAGCTTCAACTCTCTTTACTACATTTGCAAGCTTCTTTGTTGGCTTCCTTGTCTATTCATTAATATCATATTTTTACCAATAAATAAGTTATTTCAACCTATTTCAACATCACCTTGAATTTAAGACTTCTTCTATCTTGAACTCTTAATTATTATTCATTTCTATAGAAAGAAGTGATATTTGTCTCCTTTTCAAGATATTCATTGTCTTATATGGCTCAAAAAGAGACATGTGAAATACGAGGTAGATCTTCATAGACTTTGGTAGATATAATCAATAAGCAACAAGATTGACTTGTTCACAAATAAAAAAAGGTCAAAATCTATGATAGTCCAACTTATCTCAAAGACGAGTAGTCTAGATATTACGATGAAGTAATCATATTTTTTCATCTACGTTGAATTATGATTATTCCTTGCAATAGGCATTTGCATTGATCTTTTGTTATTCTTGAGCTTTTTTTAACTGCACCTTCATTGTTGCATGTAACTCTAACAAATGATTTATTAAATCTTCTACCACAAGTTTATCAATTTTTATAAAGTCAAAAGTATCAAATCGTAATTGGAAAAAAAATTATTTGTTAAATAAAAGAGTGTATTGAATTATTATATGCAATTCTACCAATGGCAATAAATTACAATTAATAATTTATTTGTGCATGTTTTTTTTTTCCTTTCTTAGCCAAAGTATACCACCAAATTATTATTTTTGTCTCAATATTTCTTCTTTAAAAAATTTCTATTAGCACTTATTAAAAATATTTTTTAGTTCATTAATTTTACATTATATTTATTATCTTAAAATTAGTATTTAAATCACTTTACCTTAGGTCACTTTTTAAAATTGTATTATTATGTGTATTTATTTTGAGAGTAAAATTCACCTTTTAACCAAAATTACAAGATGGAGTTAATTTAATGTTGCTCATAATTGGTGGTGAGAAGCATAATCAACAAGAATTAAAGAAAGAAGAAAAAAAAATAAAAAATAAAAAAATAAAACAATAAAAGATGAACAATTAAATAAATATGCACTCAAAAAGTTGTTATAATTTATTTAATAGATTTTTACTTGATATAAAGTTATAAGAAAATATAACTCTAAGTTATTTAAAATAAATTATGAAGGTTTAAAGATAGGAGATAAAAAATAAAAAAGTTAAATAAACGGAAATTAAATAAAGGTCAATTTGTTTAAGTAATCAAGGATTAAAGCCTAATCAAACCTCATTAGGGGTGTAGAAGATGTCATAAAGAGGCTATAAGGTTTTAATGTGATTTTTTTTTGTAATATTGTTTTTATAATTTTAACTATACCATGGTACTAAATAATATCTAATTAGCATAAGAAGTATTATGCTATAATTTAGTATAATATTAATAAAATATTAATATAATAATAATTTTAAAGAGATTTTTAATTAATAATTTAAATTTCAAACTTATTTCAGTATTAAATTTTATATATTTGATCAACTTATTTTAAAAATCTTATAAGAATTAAAAGCGATTTAGATTGAAGGTTTATTACATACATATGATAGTATTTAAGAAAAGTCATATATATTTTTGAAAGTAAGAATTTTACTAATAAATGTATTTATTTTTTCTATAAAATATTTTGTCAATATTATTTTATTATTAAATTATGTATTTTTTAATTTAAAATGTATCAAAAAATCAAGATATAATCAAGATTTTAGTATTAATATTTTTATGTGTGTATATTTTAGAATAAATTAATAGTTTAACAAATTTTATAAAATTTTAAAAAACTAAATTTATTTTTAATAATTATGAATTAGCAGCTTCTATTTATTTTTTTATAAAAAAAAATATATTAATTTTAAAAATTAAATTATAATTTAGAAGTTATATTAATATGATAATATTTTCTATTTTTATCTTTACTAAATTCATCTTTTAAATTATAGAAATAATATTTCAGAAATAATATTAGAACATACTGAATTTTTTTATAGTAAAGTTTATAAAAAAAATTTAAACATTTTTGTATACACATACATACTGACATATAATGAATAGAACAAACAATTAAAAATGTTTGATTAACTTCAATCTAATACTTTGTTGATTGGAGTAGATTCTCAATTCATTAGATCCATCATCATGGCAATATTTGTATAATACTTTAAGGGTTTAAAAATAATACTAATAATCAGAGTACTTCTATCAATCTTTTTTATAAATTTTCTCACAAATGCATATTCATAATCTAGTATTGAAGATAGTTTAAACATTTATTCATTTTTTATATTAAAATTAAACTTTAACTTATTAAAAAATACTTCAAAGATAAGTCCTTCAACTTTATTCAACCAAACAATATCACATAGAAATGTCCATTTTTGTTTTGCAAAAACTCAAAAATGGCAAGTTTTATTATTGATCTATAATTAATTGTAACTAAAAATTAAATGTCACTGAAAATTTAATTAAATTAATAAAACTTGGTCTAAATTTAGACCAAAACCAACCAAACCAATATCAATACTTGTAGTCCAACCATCTAAAGCACTATGTAATTTTGATTTGAATCAATAATTTGGAATTGAACTTATTCATAAATTTTTTTTGATGAAAAAAAGAAGAAGATATATATATATTACATTCTATTTTGTTAATAAAATAAAAATATCAAATTGCACCAAAGCTTTAAAAGTCTTTGATAACATTACAAATTAGTATGATTATGAAATAATTCTACTACATAATATTTTATTTTATTTTATTTTCTCTTATTTTTTTGTGCCATATGTTATCCTAAATAAAAATAGGGTCTAATAAACTGCATATTCTTAAATTAAAAATCAAGTAATCAAGTAAAATAATGATCTCCAAAGTCTTTTTTATTTTATTTTGTATTTTTAAACTATTATATTTAGTTAATAACTTCTAACAATCAATACTTTTTCTTACAATAGATGAAATAGCTGTTATTAATCATCAAGAAGAAACTTTGTATATAAGTATATATATTATTTTCTTTTCTTCTTAAAATCCTAAATATAAAACATTAAATACCATCATATTATTAATATTTAAAAAAATCAAAATATCAACTATTATCAAAAAATAAATCTAACATTAAAAAAAATAATGCCAAATTTACTAATATACTTATAAAATAAATAGTTTATAAATTAACTTCTAATGCTTTATAGTATTTTTAATATAATTAATTTATATATTAAAAACGTGTCTTAATTGATTACTGCAGAATAAGTAGTTATTTGCTGATTTGTAGATACTTAGTTTATAGTGTAAACATGCATAGATGACTGTTAGAAAGGTAGTTTAGTAGTTAAAATGGATGAATAGTTAGGAAAAGCAGTTTTCATTAGAGATGTAGCAGTTGGTATCTTGTGGTAGGATAAGGAGGATGAGAGAGAGGAAGAAACCGCCATTACTGTGATAGTGTGAGCCAGGGTAAGCTTGGTGCTACCTCTTTTCTTTTGTTGTTATGTTCTTTGAAATAAGAGTATTGAGAGTTTCTGAATATTGTGAAGTGAATCATGGAATGAAAGTGTGAATGGAATTATATGTTATTGAATGAGAAGAAGAGAGATTGAATGCTGAAATCTGAATGTAGTTCAGCAGAAAGAGTGAATCTGTGGTTGTGTGAAACACTGTAATGTGAATGGTAGTTCTGTGTGAAGAATTCTAGTAATTGGAATGAGGGTAATTGTGTGCTGAAGCTGTGATGTTGAGGTATTACAGTTGGAGATTATAAGAGTGAAGATATATTGGTGGAAATAACAGTTATTGGTATGACTGAATTGTTGCAAGGAAGAGAGTGATAAGGTGAAAGGAGAGATTATCGTTTTCTTATGTGCTTAGACAATGGAAATAGTGACGATACATTGGAGGTAATTAATTGTGTGACCCTAACGTGAACGCTCAAGCAACTAGTCACTCCCCGTGTTCGAATTCCCCTATATGGGTTTATTCTGGGAAGTTTCTTCCGGAATAAGTAAAACGAGCAATCACATTTTGGCGCCGCTGCCGGGGAGTGATAATAGCTTTGAGCGTTAGGAATTAATTACAAACGTGTGAGAAAATGGGCAATGGAAGACGATTTCAGTAGTGTTTGAAGAAAGATTATTGTTAATAAGAACGAGAGCATTGCATCGAGGAAAATAAATCAGTTGAGAGAAAGACAGGGAAGAGCGCAAAGAAGGAACTTGCGTAGAGAGGAGCAAGAACGTAATCTTAAAAGGAAGCATCGATAGAATTGGATTAAACCATGGTTGCAAGCTTTTCGGCGCATCCGAACATATCAAGAACCAGACAGACTGTTAATTCTGCAGTCTTATGTACCATTAGAAAAACTGCCAAGAGCACTCGCGGGAAATTTTGTCAACATTCCAGTGGAAATGTTGAGGCCGTTAACTGAAAGAGAAGGAGACATAGAAGT